ACTTTTCTGCTCTGCCATATTAGTGTCCACGCTTCAATGCAAGCCAGAAAGGAGGAGAAGAGAAGAGGAGAGGAGAGGAGAGGTCATGTTTGAGAAACTATAATTTCACACAGAGCAACAGGTAACAATTAGTATTACAGGAATTAGGGCAGTGCTATGAATAAATTGATATTTCTTGTCTCTGCTGTGCACCACCCCTCCCACGTTTACAGAGATCTTGCTAAAGCTAGTGGATCAGAATGAACCCAAGAAGGTTGTCATCACATCACAGCCTTTTCTCCAGGGCTCAGAGGTCTGGTGTGAGATCATGTATGAATATAAACTAACCACTTCAAAGTCTTGTCAGTTGTCCCTCCCCCAAGTTATTACAGACAATGTCATTTCTTTTTAATTACATGGCTTAGTGCATGTAGAAGAACAGTTTATTCTCAATGTAAATACATATCCAAACTTTTGTCCCATTTAGGGTCATAAGACAGAAATGAAGCTTTAGGATTTGCTATAGATGGGTCACAAGCTTTGTATTGACTTGTGAAACTTTTGGAATTTTTTACAGACATAGGCTCAGGTGAGAGCTTGAACAACTCCTGGTCAAGTTGTTACATGAATGTTTTGCGATACAGCTTATTCAGCCAGGAGAAAGGAGCTGCTTTCTTTGGCATGATCACAGGATGACTGGCACAATGGACAAGCAAGGCTGTTGGCAGTTATTAGTAGGTAAAGATAAGACCTAAAATAATATCATTATATCTAACTAGAGGTCAGTGCAGATTAAAGTATAAACCAATATGATTTAGAATCATTTTAATAAATTTAAATACTTGCGAACACCCATTTAATGCAGGGAAATATTATATGCCTCCATGGAGAGAGAGAGAGAGAGAGATATTAAAGAAATAGTTCAGAACAAGCCTGGAATAGAAGAAGGGTCAAGCCTCCCAAGTCTTCAAAGTGTTAGAAAATAAATGAGGTCATGTGGCATTGTGCTTGAGGCTAAGCCTGGTCTTGGGGATGCCATCTAACTGGTGGCTGGCTGTCTGGCTGCTCCAGAAAACATCAGTCCTACGTCTCCTTTGCATCAACACTGGTGCTTATCTGGTCTCACCCAGAGCTGGTCCAGGCACAATGACTCAGTGTCCTCCTGTGCTGGCCTGCAGGAAGCAACGGCTGGGCATGAGAAAGGGGACTAGCCCATTCTGCAGCACGCAGCCATTACTGAGCTTAAATGGAGTTCAAGGAGTTACCCAAAGTGAAGTGGCAGCTTTCCATCTCTCAGGCGTGCAGCATAGAAGAACACAAAGATTGGTAAGTATTTTGAGACACCAGTGAAAGCAGACTTTCTCTAATAATTAAAAAGGTCCTTTCCCCATTGAGGGCAATGAAGAAAATGGCAACATAGTCTACTCTTTACATTTTGGACTCCAATAATTGTCATCTGAAGTCTTTTGTAAGTACATATCCCAGACATAAGGCCTCAATTATTCTCTTCTGGGCTGTGGGATTTCAGAGCATTTCAGCCTGCAGAGTCACTCATACAGCAAGGGAAAGGCAGCATATAATATAGTTTTCAGCTAAATAGTCAGCCATCTTCTCCTTGATCAGGCTGGCTTACAAGGTGACAGCTGCACAAGAAAAGGACTCTAACTCTTACAGTAAATAATCATTATATGCCTTCTATAAAATTTCATGTACCTCCAAACCTAAAAACTTTTGCTTATCGCAAAAAGGACCCCAAACCAGAGCCCAAAACCTCCTTTGCCACAAGCTACACAGTGTTTCAGTTTTCTGATGCTTTCAGTGTTTCAAAGCCCTGATTCAGCTTCATCACTGCTCCTTGGTAGGGATGTACTGCAGTGACCCCACATATTGAAGTACACAATAGGCTCTTTGAGGTAATTCTGGAGGGTGGAAAGGGAATGTCAGTGGAGAGTGCTTTGACTGTGTTTGCTCACAAACCAAAATTACTGAGATTATTAACACCAGACTATGAAGAACTACGGGAAAGCCTAACAAATCAGACAGCATGACATTAGGTTTGTGAATAGATAAGATAGATAAGAAAAGATAGTGTAGATAAGAAAAGGTGGTCTCAAAGGAACAATTTAAAATTACTCATAAACATTGATTTCTAACCTAGTCGAAATTTCTTAGGAAAAGCTTAAGCATGACCTTCAGCAGTTTAAAAAGGATGTGGAGAAATGCAAATGGGATACTCATCTGTACTGAGAAGCAGATGAAAAGGTGGTAAAATACTGCAGGGCTAATTGAAGTAGATGTTTTCTATTAGTATGTGATATCACTTTACTCTGGATTTCAGTTTCTGAAAAAAACCTACCTATTTTTTCCTGAAATTGCAGACTTGAAGGAGATGAACTGAAAATAATTCCAGATAGAGGGCAAGAGATGAGAAGAGAAGGCTTCCATAGAAGTTAAAAAGACCTAAGGTAAAATCTGACTAAACATTTGGGGATAGCAGCAGTATATGGGACATCAGGAAAGGAATGACATTCAAGTAGCTTTTATATCTTTCCAAATCATGTTTTATTTTCCACTGTTGGATCTGTGAGGTAAATCACAATTCTATACAGTAGAAGTGATAGAAGAGCCTATAGTTCCAGACAGAACTATGCTTCTTAGTTTTACAAACTTTGTGTAGAAAAATAATGAACTAGAGCTGCCACTACTTCAGAGCTCAGCTTTTCAGACAGGAGGACATCCTCTAGAGATCATCAGATTAGGCTGACTAATTGGCTGTTCTGTCCAAAAAAAGGCAGTCTTTTGGCTTTTACAGCAGTGTAATTTATATTTCTGCACTGTATCAGTTTTTGGTGTTTGTTCCACATATTTTGTATCCATATTTCAAGGGTGGACTTCCCTGCAGGGACTTGTTCCAAAGTTTACAGTAGCATAAACACATGTAGTTTCTCAAGGATCTTGAGTTTATCTATTTTGAAAAATAGAGAGGAATGGCATCCAAATTCAGAGATAGTGAGCATCAAAGGGTTTTTTTTTCCCCCTTGGATACCATTCATAGAAATCTCTCACAGGTAGTCCACCAAACACAAATATTCCTGGGCCAAAGGGGGAAATCACTATGATAAAGAGTTACAAAAATGTTAAATAACAAAGAAGTGTACAATTGAACCCAATCAGCCATTCTCATAATAACAAGAGAAAGACAAGGAAGCAACACAGCACAAGAACTTACACCAAATATTTAAATGCTAAATAAACATTCTATTACAACATATTGTGGCAAGTCTGAAGAAGGGCAAAAAAAGTTGATGAAAGGGTGTACAACACGAGTATTTTGGGGAACAGATGAGGGAGCTGGGGTTGTTTAGGCTGGAAAAAAGGAGGTTCAAGGGGGACCTTATTACTATCTACAACCACCTGAAAAAGAGGCTGTAGTAGGGTGGAGGTCAGTCTCTTTTCCCAGCTAGCAAGAAATGAGGCAAAAGGAAATGGCCTCAAGTTGTGCCAAGATTTAGATTGGGTATTATGAAAAGATTCTTCACCAAAACAGTTGTCAAGCCTTGGAACAGGCTGTTCAGAGAAGTGGTGGAGTCACCATCCCTGGAGGTATTTAAAAGATGTACAGGTGTGGCTCTCAGGGACATGGTTTAGTGGCAGACGTGGCAGTGCTGGTGTAATGGTTAGACTTAGGGGTCTTTTCCAACCTAAGCAATTCTTTGTTTCTATGACTCTACGTAATTAGTCTCTTGAACACACTCCCACAGGATATTGTTGTAGTAGTGAATACAAAAGTAGGCATTCCTTGCTTTTAATGTACCCAAGGCAAATGCCAAACTCTGGATTCTAACACGTCAATAACTAGCTTGAACTTGTGCTGTTAATCCTGTTGTGTACGTCCCACCCAACACAGACACTCTGCAACTGTTTTCAGAGTATAAATTCTGTGTCAGAGCCTTTTCTATTAACTACTGTCAAATACATAATTTTGGGCCAGGGAAAGTGCTGCCAGTGTGCCAATTTGCACCTCCCAAGATCTACTCAGTAGCAATAATTCCTTCACTTCTCCTCTCCCTATTTCAGTTTCTCAGAAGGACACCTATTTTCCTTTCATAGTAATGCTGGTCAAAAACTATTCCAAAGCTGTTAAAATTTTGATCTTTCTTCTTAAAAAAATACCTCCCCTAAATAAAAAGTATTAGCGGAGTGGTAATAACAGATAGGAAAAGAACAAGAATTGTTTCTTTTTTTGTCTTTCACTTAAATCTTTCTATTTTTAAACACACCAGCCAGCTCTGCTTGTTATTTTTTAGCCATAAAGGGAGTTGGTTCAAGGTATGTCAGCATGATAGGTCTTACCTCCATTTAGGCTGGAGGTATTACCTTCCAAGGATTCTTTGAACAGAGAAGAAAATTTTAGTGTCCAGAAGTATATGTGCTCTTTAAAGTCTCTTTCTCTGATTTTTAATGGCTGCCTTGCTCTCAGAGATGATTGTTAGAGGGTATTCAGCATTCTGATCTGCAGCTCAAAAGCTGAAGGCCAACCCAACAGCTGCACGCATGGACTCTTTTAGTTCATATAGTGCTTCAATAAAACCAAACCAACCAATCAACCAGCAAAAAAACCAAAGCCCACAGAGGTGCATGCGCACACACTCACCCCGATCTACAGCAGCTCATTTCACAGAAGTAAAAAGACAGAGAAAGTGAGCTTAAAACTGATTAAAAATTTCAGGATGGTCACCATTACTTATGTTCTCAGCAAAAGCAATCACCAGCACTTAGGAAGTGCCTTTCTCCACACATCCCAAATCACCCTGGGGTACTATATCAAGCAATTCAAAATGTCCATAAGTTCTGCACCTTCTCCAGTAACACCTGGAGCTAGCAATGGCCAAAAGATAGTATTGGACTGATGCAATAGCACTAGGCAAAAAACTACTCTGATATTTCAGATCTTCCAATGTATTTTAAATGTAACCAGCAAAAGATACTTGAAAGAAAAAAAAAAAAAAAAGCAAACTCACCATTCTGGAAACTAAGAGCTTTTCCCTAGATCCAAATTATGTTTTTGTTCAAGACATCAGTACTGTTGAAGGAGCACTTATTCCTGCTCTGGCTTTGAAACACTCTGGCGTGCTCAGGGTTCAGGTGGTGCTGGAGCACACCTGGCGAGCCTCCCTCTTCGGAGAGCTGAGCAATGCCTGCTGGAATGTGCAGTCTAGCAGGAACCTGGCACGGCTGGTTCAAACAGACAGGCGTGAACCACGGGACTACATTACCCATAATTGCCTTGAGCTGGTTTATGATTACACCTGAAACCAGGGGAGGCGGTGTGGAAGTTTCACCTTAGGGGGGAGAGAGATAAGCAGAGGAAAAGGAGGAAGCATGTGCCCCTTGTATGCCACTGGAACAGACTGAGGGTTTTCTACTTTCACATGCCATGCTGCAGATATACTGAATTGCTGGGAGGGGTTCAAAGAGTGGCCTTCTGATTAAGGTCAAGTTAGAAATAATTAGATTTACTGGCAGCGAATACTGTGACTGAAATTGCTTGAACCTGTATGACCGGTTTAGGCATCTCTGTGTATGTGGGAGAATCAGACAACTGGATATAAGGAAGCAAGTGAAGGAGAGGTGGCAGTGGCCTAACATAACATATCTGCAGAGGAGGGAATACAGAAACATTTGGCTGGGTGAAGAAGAAAATATTACTTTTTAGCCCCATGTCCTTTAGGAAGTACTAAATTTTCCCATGTGTTATATTGCAGGTGTTTTTTTCAGTGACTTAAGAATTTCATAGAATAAAGTTTAGAAGGACAAAGGTTACAGGAACAGACAGATAAGAAAAACGTGCCAGGAATGTCACAGGGACTTGGGGAAGGGATGATTTGCCTATCCTGTTTTTATTTGCCACCTGTGGGTTGTGACTACAAGGACTCGCAGCAGAAACACCCCTTTAATGGAAAGAGGTTTCACAGGCTTCCTAAAACTGCATTTAAAAAGTTGAAGTATAAGTCAGGCAAGATAAAAAAAATGGAGAAAGGCAGAATCCTGGCTGTTTATGAATAGTGTTAATTGGTGGGAAATTTCCAACAAATAAGCAACCTGCCAAAATAAGTGGTTCTATTTGATATGACAGCAAAGGGGGTGAAACTCAGCAAACAGTTTCATCCTGAAAAAATGAAGTTGAAATGGCCAACTATTTCAACTAAATGTTCAATCCATTACAGCACCATTCAGAGAACTGTACACTTTCTCTCCCACCCAATCCAGCAAACAGCTTTTCCCACCCCCCCTTACATGACCAAGATGAAGAAAGAGATGCTCCATCTCCAAATGATTTAAACAACAAGATAGATTTTTGAGAGAGCTTTATCCTGCTGTCAGAAGCAGGATGTTGGAGTAATATAGCATAGTTATTCACTCTGTGCTAAAACTGCCAGTTACCGAAAAATTGGGTGATTTCTACTACTACTGCTTCTCTAAAGGCATAGTTTGGAAAATCAAGATCTGGAAATAGAAAATGTAGGACAGATAAGCCCGTCAGACACCAGGAAGAGAAGGGAAAATTTTCCAGTGACATTTAGTGGTTGACCCAGAGATATTAAGAAAGCAAGTATTTACTTTGTGTAATATCTTTCATTTTCTGGGATTTTTGAGCTTTCTTGAGGTAGGTAATGTCTCTCATGTGTGTCTAATATTAATGACCCAAACCAGTTGAAACGCACTGACATACTAATGTAATCTAATAATAAATTAAGATTTTGGTGACCTAAACTCTAAATTTCAATCCCTTTTCTGTTATGTCAGACTATTCTTTAAAATTTCTGTTTAGGTAAATTAGGCTTCATTTTTCTGAATGGAACATTACCTCAGAAAAACAATGTTGGTTAAAAGTAGAAGTATTTTCAGAGCCAGATGTTTTTACCAGTTCATTATTCTGAATAAAGAATAATAAAAAAAAATAAATTAATAGTATTTTACCTTAAATAGAAAGGCTTTAAGTTTAGGCTGATGATTTTTATATCCCTTTTTGTAGGGATTAATCAAAATTCAATTAAAACAGTATCCCTCACAGCTGTTTCTCAGGTAGAAAATAAGTTTAGAACCCATAAAACTGCAGTCGGGACCCTGGTTACTCACATAAAGCATCTACAAGATTTGAGGTGATCTCTGGGTCTCATAAAGCTATAGAATCATAAAATTATTTGAGCTGGAGAACTTGCACTAGATCAGTTGCTCAAAGTTCCATCCAACCTGTCCTTGAACACTTCCAGGGATCCACAACTTCCCTGGGTAACTTGTTCCAGTGCTTCACCACTCTCTCAGTATGGAATTTCTTCCTATCTAATTTAAACTTATTTTCTTTCAATCTAAAGCCTTTTTCTCTCTTCCTATCCCTGCATGCTTCCTTAAAAAGTCCCTCTTCAGCTTTCTTGTAGCATCCCTTTAGGCACTGGAAAACTCCTAACTACAAAAGGACTCAAGTATTAATAACCTAGTCTATCTGGGTTTTCCCTGCAAGGGTGACCATCTATTAGTTCCCACATATTTATTAAAGTCTGCCACTTGTATCTTGTTGCATAATAAAGCTTACCTTGAAGGCATCTAAACCAGATATTTAAAAGACAGCACTGCATTGTCTGCTACCACTCCAGAAACAGTTCTGACCAGTCAGCTTTCATTTCCAGACTCCTCAGAAACCCAGGCACTGCAATGGCTTTTTTTTGGACATTGTTTGATGAGACACTGCAGTTTTCTTCAGTTTGACTCATTTTCAGAGCAAAGTTTTCCAGAAAGAGATTTAGATTCCTAGGCCTTAAGAACGCTAAATAATATGTGGACAGTTAATAAGCACTTTCATGGGTTTAATTAACTGCAGTGGTTGTACATGCATGCTGTACACAAGGACCAAACAAATAGCAGATGCTGACAGGCTCACCTGGCAATTTTTTCTTTTCCTTTTATTGTTTGCTAAGTTTTACTCACTTCGCAGATATATTTCTGTCATTGAAATCCGTGGAATTTAGGGAGAACTCTCTTGGAACAAAAGAGGAATGAATGAGGATAATTCTGAGATGGGAAGTCTGGAGGCTGGGAGGACATGTATATGATAAGCCCTGGGTGAAATCCAGACGTGGTGGGTCAGTCCGTCTGAGCCCAGAAAAAGTGCAGCAATAGCAGTAGAGCTGGTCTCCAGCAGCTGCCAACTCCAGGGCAAAAGCAACGCCACAGGACACTTAACCGTGCTTTGGAGGTGGGTGAATGCCACCAAGCCACATCCCTTAGCTTTTGCAATCTTACTGGTAGTGGTGGCAGAATGCTGGAGTGTTTGGGAGCATAAAAAATCACATGATGGCTTGAAGCAACATAACATGCATGGGAAGTGACAGCCATGTCTTTACTTCTTGTCTGATTACATTATGTGCTTTCCCCTTCGCTGATTTTCTATTTAAATTACTGCATATTTTGATGGCTGAACCTAGCAATGACTGTAGGGTCAAAGGGCACACGTAGGTTCTGTGTGTAAACATATTTTATTTGCTTGCAGCAGATGGAACAGCTGATGCATTTGGACCTCTTTGTGCAGCTCTCATCCAAAGCATGGGAAACGCCAAGGCCTCACTTTACATTGCGTTTCATTCTCATCCCATTCGTTTCAGTTGTTCCTAAGGCTCATGAGAAAACAAATATAAACTTCATACAAACTCCTTGCCCATCAAGACATTAGAAGAGGGGCACCATTAACCGTAGGCTACGTGACAGTTACCTCTATAATTATTTCCAACACAAATTACCTGTGGTCACTACACTATGATTTATAATTGCATCTGGGAGAGGAGAAAAAGGTTCAATGTCAGGACATTCTGGGTATAAAGAATCCACTCAGACATGGTCAAATATATAATTCTTCCCCTTTCCCCTCCTGCAAATGGTGGAAAAGCTTGCCTGGCAGAAAATATTCAGGCCAAAGATATTTACCCATCAAGCAGTAGCTTGGACATTCCTCCCAATAAAATATAATAACAAAGAAAAGTGTGGGGGTAAAAACTGGTCTTCTGACAGGACTATTCTAGAAAATGTTTAATAATATAGTAATTCTGGCAAAAGCAGTCCTGGCTGTTTTTACTGATTCCAGACCTCTGTGTATATTCCATACCAGGAAAAGCACTCCTGCCAGTTCTGTATCACATTAGGGCTCTTGCCAGTATCAAACACTGCCAAAAATCACATTCTTAAGAGATATGACTTACACTAACACACGTATCTAAAACAAAGCAGGCTTTACATACTGTAATGAATACTCCACCCAGGCAGGCAAACCCACTTTTCCTGATAAATAGTGAACCAAAGGAATCAGAAAGATTGTACCTGGTGTCTGAAGGGCAGGATACAGCTCTGGGCAATGTTGAACATCAGAAAAACAGCTCTCAAAGTATGCTGTATCCCCAGCAGGCTGTATCTCAAACTTTAGTCAAGGTGAAGATTTGTTTTATAAAAATCTGTGGCATCACACTTTAATGAATATACAGAACTTGTGGCAAGAGTACCACAGTATGGGAAGCTACAGCCAAAGTACAAGTGTATACTGAAACTGATGAAGGCAGCAGCAGACCAAACTGAAACAACACTGTCCAGCAACAAAATTTGTAAGGAAGATGCTATATTGAGCAGCAAAAGCTATATCTCTACTAACTAGACCTGCTTGCACTCTGAAAAAAAAAAAAAAAAAAGGTTTAATCATTTCTCCACAGAAATCTGGGCCAAGAACTGAAATGTGGGTTTGTTTTTTGTGGGGGGGTTTGGGTTTTGTTTGTTGGTGTTGGGTTTAGTGGTTTTTATTTGGAGGGGGGATTTTGTTTGTTAAATTTGGTTGGGTTTTTTTTTCTAAAAAAGAGCTCTTATCTCTACAGAAAACGGAATTTTTCTGGTTTTCAGCATATCAAGGAAACAATTTATATCAACAACCCAAGGAAAACCATTGTTTTCCTCTAGTATTTGTCTTAATGAAAGAATGAGTAGCCCATGTCTTAATGCTGATGGAATATGAAATTATATTAAAAGGAGAACATATTTTTAAATAACAAAAACATTGAAGAGGATCATTCAATCAATGATAAATTAGCTGGCAAACA